CACACACACACACACACACACACACACACACACACACACACACACACACACACACACACAAACACACACACAAACACAAACACAAACAAACAAACAAACAAACAGCAACTACACGCCGACACAGCAATGCGCATATACTATACATACGTGCCAAATGGTCACAAACACCAGCACACACATACATCGATAAACGCGCGACGCACACACACGCATGCACAGCACTGGCCAGTTATTTATAGTAGGACGCTATGAAAGCATCAACAAGAATAAGAGTAAAACTTAGTGAAGCTGAAAGTCAACATCAGTTGCTTATTTGATGCTGAAATTTAGGGCTTTTGTTTCGGCTTCTTATTGTCTTTAAGCTTAATGTGGCACAAATTCTTATCAACAAGACCAAGTTCGAAAAAGTGTACCAAACAATAATATTAGGACAAGCTGTGTATAAGACAAAGTTTGCTGCACACCTTGCAACCCGATGCTACTCACATATAAAGTTATACTCATGAAACGCGTAGGAATATGGAGGATATGGGTGGGTAAGCTTCTCCCTGAAAATCGCGTAGTGCTCGCTGTACTCGCATTCGCAGGGGTCCGGTATCTTCTCCAGGGTCCGGGGTCTTCTCCCCGAAAGCGACGTCGCGCACGTCGCACTCGCCGCGTATAGCAGGATTGCCATGGAAGATTGGAGCGCGCAATTTATGAGACAGTTGGTCCTTTAATTATTTGAATGGCCGCTCCCTTGAATTCCAATGGGATCTTGTTCGTCGCTAACATAGGCGGAGTAATTCCAATTAATCGAGACTAATAAACATAAAAACAAGAAAGAGAAAGCAAAAAAAAACGGACAAAATTAATGAAAAAGAAAGTCAATCCAGGAAAGACATTGCATCCTATCGATTGGCGGGGAGGCCGACCGAGTACGGTAATTGAAGTTGGGGCCGCGAGATAACTAAAACAGGTTTGTCGTATGCCGCAAAGAGAACGTGGGAAATCGGGGAGAAGTTCCGCCACCCTACTCACAGCCACGAAATAGTTGAAAAAGCTTTGCCGCATGAGGAAAAGCGAACTATCTTGCACGCATGGCACGAGAATCGAGATTCGGGTCGATATTCGCCCTATCTAACTGAGCGTTTCATCCTTCTTAGATCGGCTAATTGGTACCAGACTCGTTCAAGTAGAGAGCAGCATTGACTTTTATATAGGCTGACCACAGCAATTCGTAGCATAGATCACCTACACATACATAAGGCTACCACGATTCCGTAACGAAGTCAAATGCGAGGCGCATCCCTCAGACGATATTGATTAACGCATGAAGACTGTATCCTTCATCCTTATTTTGAAATCGGATTTGACTCAGAGAACATGCTGTTATACATGTTGATTGCATTGATTCCCCCTTCGGTTCATGGATATCCTCACTATCTGGAGTCTCAATACCAAGCATGTTCGCCGTGGATCTACATTCCGAAATTTAATAAATGCTACAAAGTAGGTGAAAAGGTCACTAGATGAAATCTTGATCTCGACCGGATGATGCTTTTGTAGAAGTTCTGCGCCGACCGTTATTACAATGATCATAAACACCTATGTAAGAGATTGGGCGCACTACAGGTGAACATCTGCAGCCTCGAGGAAAACCACATTGTGGCAAGTAAGTTTCCTCGCTCTGTCCTCAATGTTTCAGCTCTTCTATTACTCCATATCAATCTGAGTACCTCAGATTTCTCAGAAAAGGCCATAGGTTCTCTCTTTCCATGAGAAGTCTCGATTGCATGGCTAACTTTTGTTAGATTGTTCCCCTCTTATTGTTAGATGACAATCATCCAACATTCCCCTATCCTACTTTATATAATTCGCTAAGTGTGTGTGTGTGTGTGTGTGTG